ATTTTAAAATATAGAATATTTACAGTCACAAGAAAGTGTCCATTGTTAGCTGACATAAGTAAACTACCAATGACAACAAAGGTTTAAAATTTAATTTAACCAAATGCAGAATAGTATGCAGGCCGTTGGACCTCTCAACTAATTACAAAATGGTCAACTTAAATTTTAAAATATAGAATATTTACAGTCACAAGAAAGTGTCCATTGTTAGCTGACATAAGTAAACTACCAATGACAACAAAGGTTTAAAATTTAATTTAACCAAATGCAGAATAGTATGCAGGCCGTTGGACCTCTCAACTAATTACAAAATGGTCAACTTAAATTTAAAAATATAGAATATTTACTGTCACAAGAAAGTTTTCATTGTTAGCTGACATAAGTAAACTACCAATGACAACGAAAAGTTTAAAATTTAATTTAACCAAATGCAGAATAGTATGCAGGCCGTTGGACCTCTCAACTAATTACAAAATGGTCAACATAAATTTTAAAATATAGAATATTTACAGTCACAAGAAAGTGTTCATTGTTAGCTGACATAAGTAAACTACCAATGACAACGAAAAGTTTAACATTTAATTTAACCAAATGCAGAATAGTATGCAGGCCGTTGGACCTCTCAACTAATTACAAAATGGTCAACTTAAATTTTAAAATATAGAATATTTACAGTCACAAGAAAGTGTCCATTGTTAGCTGACATAAGTAAACTACCAATGACAACAAAGGTTTAAAATTTAATTTAACCAAATGCAGAATAGTATGCAGGCCGTTGGACCTCTCAACTAATTACAAAATGGTCAACTTAAATTTTAAAATATAGAATATTTACAGTCACAAGAAAGTGTTCATTGTTAGCTGACATAAGTAAACTACCAATGACAACGAAAAGTTTAAAATTTAATTTAACCAAATGCAGAATAGTATGCAGGCCGTTGGACCTCTCAACTAATTACAATATGGTCAACTTAAATTTTAAAATATAGAATATTTACAGTCACAAGAAAGTGTTCATTGTTAGCTGACATAAGTAAACTACCAATGACAACAAAAGTTTAAAATTTAATTTAACCAAATGCAGAATAGTATGCAGGCCGTTGGACCTCTCAACTAATTACAAAATGGTCAACTTAAATTTTAAATATAGAATATTTACAGTCACAAAAGATTGTTCATTTTAATGGGGGACTTCTTTATCCTTTGTTAGCTGAAATATCACATGATTAGAAAAATACAACACTCTGCACAATTCAAGTACTAAAGACACGATGCACTCCATAAAGTAAAACCATCTAAGATACAAGCTAAAAAAACAACATGCAGCACATGCTATTGACTAAAACATTAAGTTAGATTGGCCAAATCTAACGAAAGGTTTTAATCAAAAGTCAGTCAGTCTACACTCAACCAGTCAGCTGTGCCAGTTGGGTGAGACTGACTACAGTCCGTTCGCTGCCGCTACTTTTATCCGCGAGCCAGTTGGGAGGGGGTCGGTTGGGAGGTTTACCCTGCTTCGCGGGTAAATTTCCCTACTGTAGGGTAATTCTACCTACTAAGTAAGGAAGTCTCCAAACCTCCAACATCACATCATTCAGTGTCGAACCTTCAACGAAGACTGTTCACATATGCTAGCTCTGTTCTGATGTTAACTATGGATAAGCCAAGTACAATCACACAAGATAAACTAAAGAGAATAAAAGAAGATTTAAAGAAATCTACTACTACTAAAACTAGCAATTTTCGCAAGTCAATGTCACTACATCTAAAGTTTCAGAAGCAAATTAAATTACCACTACATTGGAATGCATCAGGATCAAATTATTCTAATCAACTATCACCCGAAGCCATATGTCAAGAAATGAAGCTTCCTCAACTAGTAAGTCCAATAGAAACAGAAAAAGTAACATTTAAATATATGTTACAAAACAAACATTATCAATTAGTAGAACAAAGACAAAACGAAAATGGTAAAACGTTTATTTTCTTTTATGACAACAAGTTTTTAGAGGTTTGCTTTCCGACACGATTAAATGTGCCAAAGCCTCCTGACGTTGAAGATGGCAAACTAATTTATTTGATTCGCACAAGTCAGGACACATGGAATTGGGTATAATTCACTTAAAAAAAAAACAGTCTTTCTAAAGACTCCATTATATAAACATATTTTGACCACAAAGTCTGATCTGTCAAACTGTTTAACAAAATATAAACGATATTTAATTTTACTTTATTTTTTACGTCACGGTCTCCAGTACCCGTAATACACCACTACTTAAGGTTTTTTTTAAGACCAACAAATATTTACTAACATGGGGAAAATATATCTACTTTTTGGAACGTATTTTTGTATAAACATCTTTTAACCACAAACAGCTAACCTGCGACTATCTAACATAAGATATAAATTAAAATTGGTTTTTACAATACCTTGTGTTGTTGAGTCAATCGAGGTGTAGTATTACGATGGCATCAACGATGCAAACGATAGACCCAGGACCGTACAACACTCCGCCGCTATGTCCGAAAGCAAACTGTAGAACTGTGGATACAAATCCACATGGAGGTTGAGTAGGGGCATTTGACCTTGTTCCACTGCCCGCTCACTTTTCCTTCGCGGCCTCAGCCTAATTCACGGCGGCCGGTGACACAACCTTGCACCACGCCGCCGCGGGCACTAGTACAATACTGTAGGCTACTGTTAAATGTTACCGTCGACAATATGATTTTAACTCAATTTATTGTCTACATGTAAGCTGTGTTTTGGTTTAAACCCTTGGTGTAGCTGTTGGTTGATATGCCCAATACATTTAAGACAATTGCAAACGAACAAGTATTAGCTATTTAAACACACTACTGTACAGACAGCTGTTTCATCCCCTATCCATTACCACCAGCTCCTACCACCTGTATCCTGTTACCATTACACATCACCTATGACGTCACAAAGTGACGTAGCACCGGAAGCAACAATTTCCGCCTGATGGGCTTTAAACTCAATTAATTCACCCCATCAGCCCTGACAGGTGGGTGTGATAGGAGTGACCTTTGGCTACTACCAGTCTGTAACACACTAAACATCCACTCCAGGCTTGAGGGCCGTCGAGAACCTGGTGTTCAGTACTGTATACTCTTGTTGAACATGTCGTGAGAAATACTCGGGAAAATAAGACAGCAAGTTGTACAGTAGTATTGGTTTGGAAGAGTAGGTAATAATATAAAATCAACTTCATCATTGAATCCGATTAGCTTCTAAGCAAAATGAGACTAATTATTTATTTATTTATCGATGGGAAATCCATTTTTACAATAATTAAGATGAGACAACCTTACAAAGGAGATTTAACTTCATATAACTATATAGTCTAATAATTTATTAGATTGTATACGAGATAAACAAATGCAATTTGAAATGTTTAAAAATAAAAAGTCTTAAATATAGCCTTAATCGTTCCGAATCTTTCTCTGATAATAGTCAAAACCCGATAAATTATTTTTTAATTAATAGTATTCGAGTATTCGAATAAGAGATAGGTATACAATACAGTACACGATATGCTTAACCTCTGATGAACAAAACGTATAACGTGTGGCCTCGGCCTTTGCAGCTCTGTATGAATCCTCAGTGATAAAACATGCCACTGTCTAGTCAAGTCCGTCTACAACTTCCTTCTCGAAATAAGTGGGATAAAATCAAAAAGCCTTGTGAATAAATTAGAAGAGAAACTACTCGAGGTGGCTATTTCGGGAAAACGAATAGTCTTTATAAACTAAGATAATACAATTATACAAATCTCTTTGAACGAGAAAGAGGAAAGTTAGGATTAAGTTAAATAATGCATTATCCAAGTTTTGCCGTTTGTAGTGCACACAACTCTTTAATTCCAGTAAAAGTTCTGGTTTGCCTTATTCGTTACTTAAAAGTTATAAAAAATGTCGGACTGCAGGGATGGAAGTAAGCAACCGTTTAGTGTTTGAGATATTACGTCGGTAATGCGACTTACCACGGATTACTTCCACAGCTCCAGTAGTTAAGAACACACGGACAATGAAATATATTCCAGCAGCTTGTCAAAAAATGTTTGTTTAACTTAACTTGATTTTAAACTGATTTTAACGTGTGAACTCAACATGGCTGGGATCTCTTGGATAGAAAATGCAAGGTATGATTTGTTATCCACGTTTTGGTTGATATTTTTAGTCCGTGTTGCCGTGTTCTATATCATAAAAAATACAAAACCCACATCTGTAAATGAAATTAGACAATTTTTAGATCTGCAAAATCGAAAGAGTTGCATTTCTCGGACACAATTTAATGCTACTTTAATTTGTAATCGTGACAAATACGCCAAATTTTCAGTGATTTTAAAACTACTGTATCATCAAGAAGATATAACAACGTCAATTCTTTAATCATAAGAAGGTGAACATAGGCTAGACCAGTTGGTATTTTATCAGACGTTTTATTTAAATAATTTGTGTGGACGATGTAACGCATAGTATGACTCTTGATCTGTAATCATTGCTTCATTGTTGGTATAAATCTAAGATCACCAATTATCCTGCCGTTTACCATTTTACTCTAACTTTCACTTAATGTAATCTTATCTTTTTTCACCGTATCCTTCTTTTTACTGTGGATATTAACAAAAATCATAAATACCATGTACTATTTTTGGTAAAGTTCTAATCGGAAAGTTCTATGGATTAAGTACATCACATAGGCTACCTTGTATTTTTATTTCATTGTTGATCATCTGTGACATCACTAAACATTGCCAAGTGACAAATCTCAGATTGTACAGCTCTTGACAGAACCTTGATGAATAAAATAGCCTTGGGTGTGTTCATAGCTAATGGTCGGAGAGAGGGACGGGTTCGTTCCTAACACAACCACAAAAACGCAAGTGCCGCCAATTTGTCTTGAAAGAGTTTGTAATACCTTCTTTTACAATTCCAATGGCGTAGACAATTACAAAACTAAATGAATCAACACTTACCTGTTCCACGACGAAGACTCGGTACTGCAGTTGTTGGCGCTCCAGCAGGGGATGCAGATGATGAAGGAGAGTCATCAGCTGTTCCCAGCGGTCACGGTAGGGGATGATGACGGCGACGGAGTGGCGAGGGGTGCAGTCAGGGGGCCTCCACGAGCCGCCAGGCCCCAGGGGCCCTACACGGGCCTCCACGCGGGCCTCGTCCAGGAGGATGGGGGTAGACGTCACGTTAACAGCACCTTCTGTCAACGATTGTATACTGATAACATGTCCAATTCGATTGTTAAATAACGGACAGATGATTCCTACAAACACAATGCTAATTGACGGTTCTTTGTAACTAATTAATTTTTCAATTTCATGATCGAATGGCCTCTAGATCCGTATGATGAACAAAACAGATTATTTTACCTGTGTTACTGTTGGAACGATTCGTCATTCAGTCCGTGACAGCTGATGGTACCGACAATAACAAAGTTAAATTAAACCTTTATGTTTTAACAATTTTCTTTTATATTATAAGGTCAAAATTTGTTAACCATATTTCTGTAATAGCACCTAGTAAACGCGTACATTTTGTAAACCTATAACAAAAAAATAAAAAATCCCTATTAGTAAGTCGAACTTGCTCATGAGCCTATACTGCCCGGGAAAAATATTATATTGGAATGAAATGTAGGTTTCAGGGAATAAGTTTAAAATTACACATTGAAACAACGCCCGCTTCATAGAGTTTAATACTTCAGTTTTAATTAAAACGATTTCTCTTAAGAAGGGTTATATTGTTTTGTTATGTCAAATCACAAACTTAAGAGATTGCAGTCGGTATGAGAGTTTACAAGCAAGTGACTAACACGTGACGTGTAGGCTTATATCGTGTGTTAAAGCCCGTGTGTAAGTTTCAGCTAATAAAAGGGATCTCAAAGGTTCTCTTGAGCTGTAATTGCAGCTGGGCGCCGTTATTGCTCAGTTAATGAGTTCATTTCGCTCACTTGCTCGCATTCATTCGTCTCACTTTTCTCTTTCAGATTAAGAGTCTGTTGACAAATATAATATGACACTAAAAGAAAGTAATGGACTTGGATATTGCCTCAGTAATTATTCTTTATACAGTAAAATTGTATTTTGGTAAGGTGATTGTGGAGGAGAATGTGTTAAGAGATTCTCCTAAGATTGTTAACCAAGATTTTTTTGTCTAATACTAATATGGTAATATGGTATGGGGTTTAACATTTTTACTACATTGAAAATACATAGCATAATTTATACAGTTATTGAATACAGTATTGGATTGCATAGCAAACTATTCTATCGATTTCAATTTCCAGAAAAGTGAACAGGTTTCAGACTTGGGGTGAATTTCAAGGCAAGATAACATGGAAACGGTAACTGACGAAATAATAGGAGTAATCTTAAGGAGTTCAATCATAAAATGATATCTTATCCCATTCATCATTATACTTTATTAATTCAGTCATCGAAAATAGCTTATGATGAAAACTCAGTAAAATTGCAATAAATTAAGTTGACAAACTACTAACACAAACTACTACAAATGCTGTTTGTCACTATATAATATAGAGAATATATTTATTTGACGAAAAACCATTTATATCTGTACACTGATAGCGGAAACATATTTTTAAGTTGTAAAAAGCATACATACATATCGATAAGAAGAAGAGAACACACAACTAAAGGTTAAATGATGCTGGTAGATTTCGTTCATAAAGCCCCCTCCTGCCTTAAGCTCAAATGCATGTAATGCTGCGAGATACTTACGAAGAAAGGGGGGTACTGCAGAGCAGTCAGCTAGGGGCCGTGGACAAGAGTAGGTGTGATGAGTTGGCGGTATACTCTCCTGGGAAAGAATACGTGCGACATGGGCGGCTCGGGCGGCGTTCTGGGCGACCTGGGCTGCCAACTCCACTGACGGAGCGTTCCTCCGCAGTAGTGGCTCTATCTTGAACACTGGACCGCTGGCCTATGGTATAAATAGATAGTCACTAAACTATGTGCCTATCCGTCACCAGATAGTGAACAGACCATTCCAGAAGATGATTATTTTTTTGATGAGTCCCAGTGAACGTTAAACAGTTTACCAATAAAGCAACTGAATTACATATTTTATAAATCCTATGCAAATCAGCAGAATTTATTTTAATTCCAGGTGACCATAAGAGTCAAGTCTTGAGAAGAACTAACGTAAACCCTAAGTTTGTTTACTGTTGCTAGTGTCCCTCACCTGTGTCTGCTGGTGCGGCTGCTGAGGGTGCTGTACTCTCCCAGGGATGACTCTGGCAGGACCCGTGCCGGCACCGACCTGCCGCCTCTGTACCAGCGACATCTGCAGTCACAAGTAGAACGGGCTATTTTATTTACTCACAATAAACACACAAAAGTTAATTGTAATAAATATTTTAGAATATTAAAGTTTGCTCACAAAATCATACTTACTTCTGAAACAGCCAGGATGCCAAGAGCTATGACGATCAGAAGAATGCACATGAGAGGCAGGAGTCTGAGACATCGACCACCTCCCCACCATCGTCCCCGGCCACGCCGTGAGATGTGCGGGTTGCGTAGTCTGACCACGCGCATCGCCTCCCTCCTGCATGTCGTCCCTGCAACCGAGCCAATCACAATCACAACACAACCGTCACAAACACAAAGGATACTACAACATACAAAGTCTCTGCAACATTGCACAAACAGCAAAGTGGGAGGTCAGTGTACAATCTGCAACGTGATTTACAGCCTCTGCAACATCACACAATGGGTTATGTGGATTGTCGGTGTACAATCTGCAACGTGATTTATAGCCTCTGCAACATCACACGATAGGTTACGTGGGAGGTCAGTATAAATCTGCAACGTAGCCTCTGCAACATCACACAACGGGATATAGCCTACGTGTGGACGGTTGGTGTACAATCTGCAATATGATTTACAGCCTCTGAAACATCGCACAATGCGTTATGTGGATGGTTGGTGGACAATCTGCAATATGATTTATAGCCTCTGCAACATCACACAATAGGTTACGAGGGAGGTTGGTGTACAATCTGCAATGTAATATACAGCCTCTGCAACATCACACAATGCGTTATGTGGGTGGTTGGTGTAGGTACAATCTGCAATATGATTTATAGCCTCTGCAAAATCGCACAATATGTTACGAGGGAGGTTGGTGTTCAATCTGCAACGTGATTTACAGCCTCTGCAACATCACACAATTTGTTATGTGGATGGTTGGTGTACAATCTGCAATATGATTTATAGCCTCTGCAAAATCGCACAATATGTTACGAGGGAGGTTGGTGTTCAATCTGCAACGTGATTTACAGCCTCTGCAACATCACACAATGCGTTATGTGGATGGTTGGTGTTCAATCTGCAATATGATTTACAGCCTCTGCAACATCACACAATATGTTACGAGGGAGGTTGGTGTTCAATCTGCAACGTGATTTACAGCCTCTGCAACATCACACAATATGTTACGAGGGAGGTTGGTGTTCAATCTGCAACGTGATTTACAGCCTCTGCAACATCACACAATTTGTTATGTGGATGGTTGGTGTACAATCTGCAATATGATTTATAGCCTCTGCAACATCACACAATATGTTACGAGGGAGGTTGGTGTTCAATCTGCAACGTGATTTACAGCCTCTGCAACATCACACAATTTGTTATGTGGATGGTTGGTGTACAATCTGCAATATGATTTATAGCCTCTGCAACATCACACAATATGTTACGAGGGAGGTTGGTGTTCAATCTGCAAAGTGATTTACAGCATCTGCAACATCACACAAATGCTACGCGGAAAGTCTATGTTTAATTTATATTTAATATGTGCAACGTCAAAAAATTTCCTTTTGTGTGATTCAAAATATCGCATGGTTGTGTGGCCTCTGCACTGTTCCCGTGCAATTTGTACGCGAAAAATTTCCAATTTCCAACTTGAATCAGTTTGCAAAACAGCATGATCGGATCATGGGAACAGAGTATGAATAGTGCATTGTGCATGAAGGGCCTGATAAAATAGAATTGATTGATATTTCGTCTAAGTATTTAGTAAAAATCCCCACAACACGGCTCTGGCGTAGCTTATATAAGATAAGAGTACATTTCAAATAACTTTTTTGCAGTATACAATCAATCTTGGTCAACAATCCCCTCCCCCACTCAGAACTGAGGAATGTGGCGAGCCTGGCACTCTATAAATGGGAATATGTTTACAGCTCTCTCCCTCTCTCTTTCATATTATATTGGATTGAATCCTTTTTAACAGTCATTATGAACCTTGTTTTGAAAACATAGATTGGCTTCTATGGTGATAATAAAAAATATATAATGCCTGATTTAAATTATTATTATTTTGATTTTTATGAATGTTAAAATGTACTACATTCAATTCTTCTGGAAAATTACTCTGACGGTCACTTTTTATGCAAGATATTCAGGGATTTTACAAAAGTAAAAAGATTTTATAATTAAAAGTATTACCAAATGTAGGTAAACAAAAACGGAATCACACGTGTTTTAAACGTGTCACATTTTAAAACTACAAATGATTATTTTGTAGTAGTTTCATTCACAAGCAATCTCAGAAAACTGCAGTATATTTTAGTTTACGGGCAAATACATCAATAAGATAGCTGGGTGACTGTTACTAACTATACAGGGTGGCTGAAAAGTAACTTACACCACACCCCTCCTTAACTTTTCAACCATTTGAGATATTTGAAATCTGTTTGCGGCAACCTTCTTCGATATGAAGGGCTACAATAATTATGGACAATTTTGAAAATTTTGCCCTTAGGGGTAGTGAGGGTAGGGGGTAGCTAAAAATTTTCAAATGACAAGTATAGTCGAGTTTGGTATCATTTTACAAAACATAAAAATTTACATAAAGAAAACCAAAATCGGCCCACTAATAACAAAATGGCGCCCTAAAACATTTCAAATTCAAATAACCATGAGGGTGGCTGAAAACTAACTTTTTTTCTACGCCAGTGGCATTTCACGAGAGTCACGAGAGAATAAATGTTCTGTGGATGTGCCGGGGATTGAACCCGTCCAAGCACCGAAGTCCGAGACGCTAACCACTAGGCTAGCGACACGACCAACATATAAAAAAATGGAGAAAGGACCATCACAAACGTATATTATATTTTAAATATTTGAGATATTTGAAATCGGTTTGTGGCAACTCGTTTGGATTTGAAGGGCTACAATAATTATGGTCAGTTTTGAAAATTTTGCCCTTAGGGGTAGCGGGTGTAGGGGGTAGCTCAAAATTTTCAAATAGCAAGTATAGTCGAGTTTGGTATCATTTTACAGGTCTTTACGAAACATAACAAATAACAAAGAAAATAGAAATCTGAGCATTAATAACAAAATGGCAGTTCAAAATTACTTTTAATGACCATTGTCTTAATCATATTTAGCTGCCATTTTGTTATTAATGGCCCTGTAAAATGATACCAAACTCGACTATACTTGTCATTTGAAAATTTTGAGCTACCCCCTACCCCCACGATCCCTAAGGGCAAAATTTTGAAAATTCACCATAATTATTGTAGGCCTTCGTATCGAAGAAGGTTGCCGCAAACAGATTTCAAATATCTAAACTGGTTGAAAAGTAAAGGGGGGGGGGGTGTAAGTTACTTTTCAACCACCCTGTATAAGATTTCACCCTAGCTTCCAGTTTAAAGTATACAATATATTCAGTTTATTTCGACAACCACTTTTAGATTACGAACTTTATTGCAAAATAATAAAACTCCTTCTTGTTCGGATGACAAGCAACAATAAACAATATTTAAAATTTGTATTTCATTGCTCGTGCCAATGGATCACTGTTGATAGTCTGTAGTGTTAGTTACGTCATACCAGTGGGTTTATGTGTTTAGTTGTGCTCTGCAAAATGAGGTCATCCGGAGTGATTCCGTTGATTAAATACCTCAATTATCATTCGTTATAAAATAAATATACATACATTCACAATATACTACAAGTTTCGTTTGAGTGATCTGCTCTAAGCAAACGGTAATAATAAATATCTTGTGAACATTTGCTTGCCAAAAAGCAAATGTTTTAAGGCTTAAAACAAGGTATCTATTTGTTGCCTATAGCAATCCTTTTTAAAATAATAAGTGTGTAGACAAAACCTATGCCTGGTACTAAAAATAAAACTATCAAAACACTTGCCATTGATACACACGTTCTTCTAGCTAAACATAACTTTTTAATTGAAGTGGAATTGCATGTTATCGTGACAATCCACGTATTATAATGAATAAATCATAGGCTACTTTAAATTGGACTTCTTTTTGCCCAACGTGGTAATTTGACAAAGTGGTGGTGATCGTAATCAACCAAGTCGAAACTATTGCGTTCAGTTGACCAATGACCAGACATACCCGTGGTTATCCTTCTGTGATGTTTGGCCGTGCTGTGACGTCATCAATGCCCTCTACCCCATTTCTGTAACAAACACAACATATAAAAAACATGTATAAATCAAACTAATTAACTAATATAAAGTCTAGTGGTCGTGGTTATTATGGTTGGGTTCAACTTAGTAGTTCCAGCTTTGCTGCAATTATAATTGAAGCTTTAGTATGCCACCTGTACTGTGTAGATGGTATAAACTCAAAAAAAGAATATTGCACTTCTCAATATTTAGTTCTTTATTGACTTTTTCCGGATAGAAAACTATCCTGAATTATACAATTTACCGTTAAAACCCGAATAGTGCTTTCACACGTTACCATTACGGCAATTATTACTAAAATTAATTTTCCTACGGTGGCTCTTTTCTAAGGATTTAGGCTCTCTGGCAGTTACCGTTATCGTCTATCTTTAATATCTATGATTACTTTGTGTTGGGATGATCAAATTATGTTCACTTTAATATAAATTTTATTTTAACCTTTACATTAATGTATTTAGAAGTTTGGTTATGTTGCTGGTTGTATTCACAATACACACACATGCACATATCTATCCATCTATATATTCTATATCTATCTGTCTATCTGTCTATATATAAAGGGTGGTAATAAATTCCGAAGACAGTTAAATATTTTCTAAACGACAACAGATAAATCAATAAGATTTGGTACATCAACACCACACCTAAAAATCTACTTTTTTATGAAATATCAATTTTCTGTCATATCATGGGGACGTCCCACAAGGAGTCAGAAGGAAGTCTTAAATACAAGCATAGGTTGACATGTACATCAAATTAAAGGTGTTTAATAGCAGAATATAATGCCGCAAATTTGAACCCAAACGAACAACCGAGCCAAGAATGACAGTTGTTCAAAGATTAATTTAATTAGCATTACTATTATATACTTGCTCCTCAGGGGGTACAGCCCTGAATCGGAAGAAAATTGTTAACATAAGCATAGGTCGATATGCACATCAAATTAAAGGTCTTCATTAGTAGCCTAGATTACAATGCCGTAAATTCAAGCTCAAAAGAACATCTGAGTAAAAATTGCAGTCGTTCAAAGATTCAAAATGACAGATTCAAGAAACCTTTGAACCGCTGCCATTTGCGCAGGATCAACCTTTTGAAGTGCGGTTTGCGGCACTGTATTCTACTAAAAAATACCTTTCATTTGATGTGCATATTGACCTATTCTTCTATTTAAGATTTTCTTCCGAATCCTTGTGGGCCGTCTCCCTGAAGAGTATTGTATTGGAGAGTATGTATTGGATCACTGAATATGTGTTAAGATAAAGTTTTATGCTCCGTAACTTAGTACTGAGTATTGTAGCTCTATTTACATTATTTTTTTAAATATTTAACTGTCTTCGGAATTTATTACCACCCTGTATAATAGGCCTGTATAATAGGCTAAGCCGCTTTTTGTTGATCAAACTCCTCCGTTATTATTCGCACGATATTCACGTGTGGGGTCTCAAAATAAAGGTTAAAACGTGAAGTTGTGCCCAACGGCATTAGATGTTTTATAAAGTTGTTGGTAAGGGCAACAGAGGCCCTTAAAGTTTTTCTACATAAGGATAACATGGGAGATAATTTTTATTTATATAAACATATGTATTTTAGCTGAAAATATTCAAAGTCTACTACATAATAAATTGCTGTGTATTATGTCTGTGAATGTATATTAAATTTGTATCAAGGATTGTGACTGGGGGAGTCGAGGAAATCTTCAATTTCTTGGTAGTTGTTATTCCAATTTGTTTTTAGCGTGAACACTGTAGAAAGGTGGTTAGCAAACAAAGTAGCTTTCTCTTCTGACCCATTGAGTTTAAGTAGAGTACTGGAGCTTTAGGTTGTTTTATTGTCTTAGTAACCTTCCAAAAAATTATTTATTATTTCTGTTGGAGACAAATCAACAGTAAAACCACTAAACCATTTATTTTAAAAATTTTTTGCGCTTGTTTTAGACCTCGAGAAGCTTGATTGATTTAAATGTGCTTTATCCCTTTGGTTACGTGACTGTTGCCATATTCTTCAAAGCATAGACGTCAGACGTGCGTCGCTACCACGCACGTCTGTTCCAAATGGCGCCACATAACGTTCATAATCCAGTTACTATTTCGGAACAGGCTGTACACGAGAAAACCTAGTTTTAGGAACGGCAGTACCTATAAACACTCACCAGCCGAAATGGATGGAATCAACTTCATGTTATCTACCCGCAACTTATATTTATTATAAAATGAGACTGTTCTAAACTAACCCAACCTAACCAAACTTGCGGTAACATTTCAAAATTCCGTTTGGTAGCAGAATTCTGAAATGAAACTGTTCAACCTAACCAAACTCTCTGTAACATTTCAAAAATTTCTTCTCATAGCAAATTCCTTTCTTTTTTTAAACAAATTATTTTGACGCTTTAAAATAGAAAAAATTTAAATGAATTCCATCTCACCGAAATTGAATGCGAGTAATTGATTCAAAATGGCTTCTTTCTAGGAAAAAAAAACCGTTCCCTTTGCATTATTTTGTAATACTGGAACTGGATCTTCAACGGGAATGGGTCGTGCCGTCATTTTTTTGTGCGAATAATCACTTCGTCTTTATAAATTATGGTTGCGCTTATGGTCGCTATTATCGGAGAATAGTCTAATGAAAGATCCAGGCAAGAGTTGATATCGGTATAATCTGGTCCAATACCTTTGATCACAAACAATCTAGAGGTCTGGAGTGTTTTGAGGATAAGTGAGCCAGTAGTTAGGCACGCCTATTAACAAGTAATTCATATTGTTGTTGTCAATAGATATTAAAAGCTGTCTTCCTCTAGGTTAGCCTTGATCCCCATGTATTTTTAAATTTTAAATTAATTTTTTGTGCCTATTTTTTGCCTATTTAATTTATTAAGGTATTTTGTAGGAAAATATCTTTCTAACAGTATGCGTAGATTTTCCCTCCGTTGCAAACGAGCTGATAAAAAAGGTTTTCAAGACAACTTTTTTGGAACTTGCCTATTAATATATAGGACTAGCTGTTGTACCCGTGCTTTGCAACGGGAAGAGAACACAAAATAGAAACACTTTACATCGGTTGCATATAATAGTTACACATCCGCCAACGGTTTTAGAAACAAAATTCAACTTTTATGGCCGAAATAGAAGCGTCTAAGTTATGACTTTTAAATCTGGTAAGTAGTGGATACCACAATTTTGGTTTTGACTAAGTTTAAATCTTGTGTAGTCTGATATGAGAAAAACTGACTAAATCTTTGAACACAACTTTAATATACATGATTTACCTTTATCTCCATTGATTACATATCTTTTTTTCTTTATTTTTGACATTTTCTATTTCAATTTTGAAGTTGCAAAAATACTAATTATTAAATTTAAATGAACATTTTTAAAATTTAATTCTTCTTCATATTAAATCACAAATCCTTCCATCTACAATTTCTTCACTCACAATAAATCATTAGCATAACGGAGTATATTTTATCTATGGCAAAACTAAGTCAGCTGTTATACACTTAAGAAATATTGTTGTGTCTTATCAATAATCTTTTGAAGTATTAAAGAAACTATATATATAGGCTACTATAAAATTTTTGAACAAATAATTTAGACTAATATGATTATCAACGCATCAAGGACTAAAAAATATAATAGCAAATACAGTATATTATGTTTCATTGCATCTCTGATTCTACTCTCCAAAAATATCAACAAACAACTTAATATACAAATCAGTTCTTTTAATCAGTTCCATCGTACATTGCCTTTACATTTTCACACTTACCATTGAGTAAACATTGTAACACATATTTCATTGATTTTAGAAACAAAATAACACTGTGTACTGCTTAGTTTTATGATATTTTCCTTGGTTTAATTTAATCAGTGGTGTGGCAAAACCCAATAGTAAATTTAAATGTGAATTGAAAGCTATGTTAAGATAAAATAAGAGTATTTTGTATTACCATTTGATAATTAAATATAGTTATACATATACAACAGATTTTAGAACACAAAAATCAACGACGTACAATTTAGTTATTGATGATATTTTTGAGTTTATTTTAAGCATAGGTTTAGCAAAACACAATAACTAAATTTACCTAAATATACATATAAAAAAACAATGTGATGTGCAAGTTATGTTAAGTTAATCTAACTTATGTTAAGCAGTTCGAATTTATTTAAAGTAGCTTCCAAATTCATACAAAACATCCATACATTTTAATTTTCTTAATGTTTCCATGACAATATATCAATAACATTATTTTCATAACACTTAAGACAATTTAAAAATCTAAAGCAGAGCCTGTGTTGATACAGCAATGCTTTTAGAATATATTTTTTATTTCTATAATCATTGACATAGTTTTTGAATAAATCATCTTTGATAAATTTTTAGATTAAATAAATCAACCACATAATTGTGTGAAATATTATATTTAACTTCATTGGATCAGCTGTCTTAAATTGTAAAATATGCAATTTGGCAGTTCTTCTTGTTTACATTGAAATGTCAAAGCAAATGTAAATGTAAACATTGTGAGTATTCTTATTGCAGCCATGGAGACCAATCAATAATTACTTTTAAAATCCTCAACTCAGAACTTTCAAAGCCAAAGGGGCGAAGCCCACGGTCGGTATCGAAATGTGAATAGTCCTATAATGGTCCTTGGTATGGTAGCTATATTTCTGTAAAATTTAAACCCAGTTGGTTCGGTAGTTTTTGCACCTATTAGTAATACACATACAGACAGACACCATTAGATTTTTATATAATAGTATAGATATATTAATTTTTTTGCTTGGAGGTTTTGTTTTGAAATGCTGATAACGTCTTGCAGTTTTACTTTTACAAATTAACGTTTTTCTCCAGATTTTTTACTATCAAAGAGAAAATAGAATGCATAATTGAATGCTGCGATATTTCGAAATTGCCATTCATTTCTGATGAGGTTACATAATTAATGGTTATTTTATTAAGTAATTGCGTGCTTATGTAATATATGTGTATGTGTAATGTATGTGTGCGTGTGTATGATGAAGCTGTCGTTTCTAGTTTCTTGTAAAACATACGTTTATTTTGTAAGTTACAAGTACATTATGAGTACAGTTATTAATTAAACAAGATATAAGCAGGGGTTATATAACAGAGGTTCAACTCTGTTTTAGAGGATAATAATAATGGTATACTGTACATGCTGTATAATGCACGTAAAGGCAGTATAACATGGATAAACTATTTGTTTTCATCCAAGAAACCTCGATAAGTTGGGGGCAGTAGGGTATCGTACAATAATGTTTATATTTAAGATCCATAATATTGCAAAATAAATTTAGTCTACTATTAAAAGTCATTTCCATTACAAGAGTGTCAGAAAAATCTTAAATAATCGAGTTAGGTACGAGTTATTCACAAGGATTCTTAGAAATAAAACAAAGCGTTGATAGTAAACGCAAAGGGTGGTTGTTTATTGAAGCCATCGCCAATGGCGGCCATTAATAATATTGTTACGTCATTCTGCTGCATTGCAACAAGTTGTTTCCTTTGTGCTTCAGTAACATGGTAACACGGACATGGACTGGCAACATCACAAACTCCTTGATCATTGCGATTCAGACAGTTGTATTTTTGACAGTTGTATTTTGACAGTTGTACTGTTTTACAATTTATTTGCAATGCATCACGGCGGATGGATATTGGCTTGTAAAAAATATTGTGTGTTTTAGTAACGTTGTGTTTATAATTTTAACATTATATTTTTAATTGTTATTGGCTGACAGAGTAACAGCGAGGTTAAAGTTCCCACTCCAATATTTGATGTTTGATTCCTAAAGTGACCCTGGGAATGATTGATTCTATTCCACAATCCACAGTCGTAATTGTTATTGGGCAGTGACTGGTCAGTGATAGGGCGGATTGGGCCCGACAATTCAGTATTGTGTGGTCGCCTAGGTTCAATTGGTAAATGTAATGGCTAAGTGATTTGACAACTACCTGAAGCTGTGGGCTCACTTATTATAAACCAATTAATTTTTAAATTCATTGTTGGGTTTATTGGGATAATAGTTTTAAAGAAAATATTTCGAACATTTTACCATCTGAGTTTGAAAAAAGAAACCAAATGATTCCAGATCTGGAATCTCATTATATCCTAAGGTTAGGCAATATCTAAAACCTAAAACTTAAAAATATTAATACTCACTACAACAGCCGTAGCTAGAAAATTCACTTGTCAAGTATTTTGTGTTATACTCCGTTTAAACAACCATGGCACCTGACGGATTAGGAGTCCCCATGGAAACCCTTGTGTTGCGTACTAGTTCATCACTTTTCCATATTTTCATTCAAAATTGATTTCAATATATTATAATTTTATTTCTTCTTTGTTCTGAATACAATTTCCTATTTTTCTTTCCCGTTCCAATTTCTTGACAGCTGAAAGTTATTTAATTTAATGTTTATTTACATCATATTTTTGATTATTATAAAAAAAAAATTGCATTTCTATCTTCAGTACATTTACTACACATCATTATCATTCTCAATTTTATTTTATAACTCACATACAATTTTTCATGAGATTTAAGCAAATATTACTTCTTTTCAATTTCAATTACATTATACAATCCGTATTGTGAACATCATTGTTTAATTCTAAAAGAAAGAAAGACATTTTAAAAGTGATATTTTAATCATCAAGACATGAATGAACTTAAGAAACTATGAATCCATCAAGACGGTTCCACCAATGAACATGAAATATTTATTGACATTCTTGGTGAGTTTCATCAATATTAAGTTTTTTTTTGTTTTTGACAAACTTATTTTCAGAAAAGGAACAATATTGTATATTAAACTGAAAAACTTGTCTTGTTACTTGTTTCTATAATTATACCTTTTCCCCACACCTTGGGGCCTCCTAATCCCTCAGGTGCCACGGCTGTTTGAACGGAGTATAGTACTTGACGAGTGAATTTTCTTTTTATTTGAAAACAATTCCAAATACTATTTACTAAAATAGCAAGGACAACTTATGAAGTCAATATAATTTGATTAACATTAGTACGTTAATTTATAAGCTAGATGAATAACACTCATTTAGAATACATTAGTCATTGGTGTTAATCTGCATTGTAAATTTTAACAGGCAATCAATAAATACTTCAAAACGTGTAGTTGTAATAGAAGAATTTAAAAGTAATACAATTATTAAATCACTTCATCGGTAGTTATTGTTCCTCTATTAGTTGATTACAAACTGATTTCTCGCACAATGTAGAGAGGTGAAGTTATCAGAAGATCACAGTTGAAACATTATTCAAAATCACATGTTCCAGTTTCAAACCACAAATAGTGGAAAGCGAGTGTCACCATCAGGAATACAACTCTCTGCGATGTCAGCGGCGTTGTTGGCCAACTCGCATTGTCGTTCCTAACTAAAGTAAACCAGATAAACAACAAACTGGAGCTTGTCATCTCATTGGCCGAACTCATTGTATTTATCAGGTCCGAGTTGATTAACTTCTACTCGATTGAACAACAATTCCAATAATGCCAAATATCACGTCACAGTTACTGCTACAGCTTAGCCTATAATGAATTGTGATTAAGTGTGGTAAACTCTCCTATCCTTTGGTAAACATTGTTTAGATTAGACAGTATACTTAATAGCAAATCCCTGTTTCCAAGTCCCAGCTCGCAAATCACTTTACTATATTCAAGACCTTAAAAATGCTTTTTAGGACCATGAACGTTTTAAGTCTTGATGACGTAGATGAACACAAATAAAACGTGAGTGATTTTCCTTGGGGTAATTTCATCAACACACTTTTTGTGTTATATTGTTATACTTCCAAAGAGAATGTAGTAGGCTGAATGGACTGTATCAATAGCCTATGTATCAATAATACTAAATCAATATGCTAAAACAATATTGCAGGTTAAATTAAGGTACTTAAAATTGTAATCATATAGAATTTTAAAGTAGATGTAGGCTAGGTGCTACCACCCTAGTCTTTGGTGCTACATATCGTTACGGTCCCGATTCATTTTCTGCAGTTCTAACAGCGATTCTTGTCAAAATTTATATTTTTAAAACTGTCGTTATACATGACTAGTAAGTTATTGGTTAAAACTTCAATATATATTTAAAAGCACTTTTGCTGAGAGACTGGTTTTTACTTATTGCTCAAAGTCTGTTTTGTTTTCATAAGTTATTTTCATGTGTCCGTGATATCACAATAAAGTAAATCACGTACAGTGACGACGACAAAACTAACCTTTTGTCATTTCAAATTATAGGGGTTTTAATTAAGCGGTTAGTGTATTACATATATGTACATATCAATCACTAGACGTGTGGTTAATTAATCAGTTGACATTTGTTTAATATATACTGTAATTAGGAGTTAAGTTTGTTTTTAAATCAAAGGTTTTTTGTTTTTTTAACTTTTGTCAATAATTGATATGTAAGAACAATAAATGGATTGATAATAGCTATTATGCTTCAGTGTATACCGGTAACTATTTGTTATATGAGTGAAATTGGCACCTCCAATGAGAATATCAAACTCGCACAACTCCAGTTAACTCAAGCGATAATTGAAACTAATTATGTTGTTGTTTGTTAAACGTTTTTAAAATCGCAATTCTATATATTAACCGTATGTTTAAATAGATAATAAAGTATATTTGTATACGTAAATAATTAAATTTTTTATGTGCGTAGTATTTAACGTTTTCTTTTTTTAGAAAATACATATTATCGAGGTATTTTTTTATTTTTACGTTTTAAATCAAGTCTGTCGTACCAACTAATAATGTAAAGTTTAAAAGACGTATATAAAGCAATTTGCGTTACAAAAGTACCGCATGAATCACACGTCAAGTAAATTAACATCAACCTAGTAAATTCTATTACTTCATTGACATCACACAGCAAAATAAATTAAAATAATTACATACAACAAAACCGTAGCATGGAGATTTATTTCACTGAGGATTGGCAAGAAAATTAATTAAGAGACATTTGCATATTGTGTTTGTGGTCGATGTGAAAATTTACAAAAGCAAAAATTCTTTTTAGAGTTAGTTCAGGTATTTTTCGAAGCTCATGTAAACTTAAAACTATGTTTTGAGCAATCAAACAATGCATGATATAGCACTATTGAATGTAAATTCATGATAAACCAATGATAAAAACCTGTAGAACGATTATTAGCTGAATAGCTTTAAATAAATTATTAACACTAATTTAATCAACATTGTAATCAATTAACAATATTATTTCGCTGACTTCTACTAACACATCAATGATCAGGATAGAAGCTGAGTAGAAGCGAAGGTTCCAATTACCCTATTGGAGCTTTTCAATATTCAACAAATAACTGTGTTTTCCTCTCACGCGCTCGTCTTCCTAATTCCAGTCTGCCGCGCTCTAATTTGTTTTATCGTTACATTTCCACGAGGAAACCTTTTAAATTCTGTTTAAACCCTCTAATTAATTTATTGCATTATTTATGTAAATTGTTTACAATTTTAATATCTTATTGATATATTCCACCCAAAAATCAAACCTTCAACGAAGATATCACGTTACGATTCCAGTGATAGGTTAAATTGCAACGACATTGTAATTTTGGCTTGGTTCCATTTTGATGTTAACTTAAACACTTAACTGGGACTTTAAATAGTTGTCAGTACGACAAAAGGTGGGTAATTACAGGATCAACTGGTAGATGCGGTACTGGTACTTACTGACTGTAGCGTGCTGCCGGTGCGAGGGATGGTCGACTACTGAAGATCAATAGCGGGATGCTGGATACCACCCTCACTGTTCCATCACCACCCCTCCCTACACACACACACACGCAACCCCACATACAAGCACGAGACACGTTCGTTTCTTACATCTTCCCAGACAATCAACCGCATTAATGACCGTCGTTACAGTTACTCACATCTTGTGTCGGATAAGCAAAATGTTTCGATCGAGGAGGGGATAAGATGTATGAACTAATTCGAGTTTCAACAGAAGCGCGACACCGGGTGAAGTTGTAATTTATGGGCTCGTAACATCTGCTAGGACATCCTGCTTGTGCTTCAAATGGATTTATGGTTAGGATATTTAAAGTGTGAACTAAATTGTATTTTGTAATCGCTTGGATAATACTTTAACATTCACGAGATTAGGTAGGTCTTTGTATCTCGATACACCTATGGAACTATGAAGTTAGTTTTCAAGTATTAAGTTAAAAGTACTGTATAGGGTGTATCTTGTAAACGTACTTTTACTTAGAAAACGTATACTTTAACCACTTCACAATATTCATACTTGAATCGTTTTTAAAGTATTAGATTATAAAATATTACGAATTCGATACTTTTTTTATTTTGGAATTATTATTACTTTTAAAATCCCTCCCTCTATTTTCAAAATACTTCCTAAAATAGAATCCTATAAAAGAATAAGCATACAAAATGAGTGTAATGCGGTCGAGTCTGTGAATACTAAGAGGCAAGTCTGCGTGACGTTGCATGAGAAGAATCTTTAGTACGTATTGTGGACATACTGTGCTATACATCAGTATGCAATGCTTTGGATACTGGAGTAGACATCAAATAATATAGTTTTGTAGTTTTGACAGGTATTTATAAATTTTTTTTAGTTTTCCTTTCTGTTTTCGTTATAAGGAAATGAAAGATGGTTAAAATAAGTTTAAAATAAGATGCCCTTTTCGTTTGTAATGATTGAAGAGTAGTTAGTGTTAAGAAATAAATCGGTATTTTACAACAACATGCTTTGGGGACGACTTTTTAAACTGTAAAATTGACTGCAAATTTAACATGAGAATGAAATATCTATATTACGGTCGTGGATAGTTAAATATTGTAACAAAAACGGGGTGAACTGTGGAGTACTTAATCTTTAACTTTAAAATGGGAATGGGAATCCGTAGAAAAGGGCAAATAGTTCATAAATCAAACCGTATAAACGTATTTAAATCATAGACCATCTTAAAATACTTTCATTAAAAGTTATCATGCTTAACCAACTGTAAAATATGTAAACAATCGCTAAAGTGGAATTAAGGGGATGCGACTCCTCCAATGGTCAGTTTTGGTCAAAATTAAATAATTTTCTTTTTGAATTTTAAATTAATGTAGGCTACATGTTCATACAAATGTTTGGGTGAAATTTCAAACCATTTTGAACATTATTTCCTATTTTTTGGTTGTTTTAGTATGCTGGCGTATAATCTAGCACTGCACCAGCTGTTTGCTGTAAACGCCATTTGCCGCTTATTATGTTTTTCCCCGTTTTCGAACACAAGATTTTGAATGCCTTTTGACCCATATAAGATAGACTTTTGACATTTTTGCCACTTTATTTTCATAATTAGCAGCTTTTAAACTATGGGAATAATTGTACATGCTATATTACTCATTTTAGAAAAGTTTTAAAAGAAAATGTTAGCATTTTAACTTTTAAAAGATTAAAACAATTTTAATTTTAGTTACATAATAGTTTTAATAATGTAAGTTGTTAAGCATCCTCGGCTTGTCAAGAGATACTCTGAATTACACTAAACTATCGTAATAAAATAAACTCCAAGATAAACTCTACGGAAGAGTTTCTTAAGTACACGATTAATTATTTACAACACAAAACAGTTAAGTAAGGGACTAATCATGGTAATGGGTGGTTTGGCGCTTCTCTCAAGTCTCAATCCACCCCTTCTCCTCTTACCCACCACCCCCCCCCCGTCCAACCCTCACTGGCTGGCCTTATCACCAATAGCCACTCACCGTAACCGACCTTATCACCCAGCCTCGTCTAGGCTACTTCATACAACCAACCACTTTAGCTTACCAACAACTCCATGAAGAGTTATGTTGAAGTCAACATGTGAAAGTAATACAATATACTGTACGAGTCGTTTTATAACAAACCACAATATTAATTATGGGTTTGTACGCTTTTAACATTCTAGAACGCTAGGCTCAAGCCCAGAACAGTTTTTTCGCAATACTGTATTTGAGGCTACTCACGTAGGTTTACTTACTCAAGTTTTTTAGAAGGTCTAGAGGGCCGCGGCATTATCACTGTCTTGTAGTAGATCAAATCCACTAGCGATTGGCGGGATTTGAACCCAGGACCTTGGTGGTCAAAGGTCCTACGGTCTGCCACTATAACAGCACGCTCCCCAGAAGGGTTTAAATTATTATATGCAGATGACCCAATTTCACACCTATTAAGCAGTGAATGTGAAGAAAATATTGCCAAGGAAGGGTCAGAGTCCAACGGATTTATCAATAATGCGTTAGTCCTGACAACAAAGCAAAACATAAAGTATACATGGTTTCTCCTCATTCTAAATTTTGAAAGCGTTTTAATGTATGTATGTTAATGTATGTTTTGTATGTTGTGTGTTTTGTGGGGTTATCTTACAAATATAAGTTATAGAAACATATTTTAGATAGTATAACGTTTGAATTTAATTTAGTTCCTAATCTAATTTCCAAATAAAGAAGTAAAATGTTAAGTAAACCAATTGGATGGAGACCAATCTCAACTGGCGATGATCGCTCAAGTTCTTCCAAGTTTCGAGTTGATTTCAAACTTAAATATAAAAGAATGTTGACTTTTGTCAGTTAGTGGCTTTTAATTAGATGAAGGTTGTTTACGAATTGAAATATGTAATGCATTAAAGTTGTGTTAATGGCTTGAGTGTTGAAATTTGAATTGAATAACGTAAATTATTATTACACTAGGGGTTCCGTGCAGTATGATAAATGTTCATGAAATATATCAAAGTTAAAAACTAAATTAAGTTTCAGGTAATTAAAATACATAGTTCTGTGTAAACACAACTCCGTTATTTATTATCTTCAATGTTTACGGTGTCAAAAATTAACTTTTCCAAATGTATTTATCCATATGAAAGCATTCATTCTATTTCAATTTTAAAAGAGTAAATTTTTTCGTTGTTGACGATCAATAGTCACTGCACCTAAGTAGTTACCATGATATAGATGGTGAAAACTACGTTGAACAGATTTTGATAGAAATACAGCACGTACCAACCAATATGCACCTTTATTTACTGCTCGAACTCGTATTGCCTCATTGGGATTTTATGGCAAGTTTCGCACCGAGTTTTGATTGTTCTTTCTAACGGATTCCAGCCGTTCTCCCTCAGTCTTCGTTTCCATATCAATAATATATTGAAGGAATAACTAACCACCATGTATTGGGGAGAATTATTGTGTGACAAAGAATATTTGGGCTACAAACTGCAATCGTTTAACTGTGTTGCGGTGTACAATTGACCGCTCGTTAATCTTAAGGAGTTTCTCTTAGATCTCCTCCCATTATTTTGGATGCTTGGGCATAAGGATTTACCTCACTACCTTTTTATGGCCTCTGTTGGACTCTCTTCAAAGTGCTGCAAAATCACAACCAAAATTTTTTTAGTGCGTTTTCTCTCATTGCAGCTGCTTGTCCAGTGTCATAAAAATAAGTGTCCCTGCCACTGCATGGAAATGGCCACATGGCCATACCTGTAAACAGTACGCAAAATATTTGATTTCCGCGTTATTCATTCCCGCTCGCTAAATCAGCTGATTTCACGGTTGGCGTTTTATTAAAACACTATCTTCCGGTAAGCAAATAACGTATCATAAAAAATCAAACATGATGTGGACATGCCATACGTTTTATTTCTATTCCTAAAGTAAACACAACCTACAAATATTATTCATCTCGCTAAGTGTATGAATATCTGAATTCCCAAATGCAAAGCCAGGTCTTTCTTCTCGCACTCTTTTCAACTGCATTAGTAGATCCATCACCTAGTATCATTTCCTCCCGTTTTCAATATTCCTTATTTAAAGCCACATTATTTCATATTTTACTGCTAATTAATACAACAGAACTTCATCTATCTTATTTTTTTTTAATTTGTACAAAAACTGAACGTGTACGATTGAGTCAACAAGCGCAATCTGGCTGCCGATTTCATTAGTTTATTTATATTCAACTTTTAACATTTGTTCTGTTTACTGTGTTTTATTAGTAACGGTACTTGTAATTTATTTTTAAAATCTATACCAAGTAATTCAAACAAATTCCAAATAACCAGCGACTGTCTGATTTGAAGGCAACCCATAACCAGGCTATCCAGAAACAGATCAAAGTATTCTATACTGTATAATTCAAAGTATAATATACAAGTGCGAAGAACGTGTAACTAGCACACAAATTAGTAAACAAAGAACTAAACAATTAATTCAACAATTGATATTGATTGTTGCAATACACTGACTGTGGTTCTTGGGAAGGATGGGACGGTAATGTGGTAGTGGTATGGAAGTAGGATGGGACGGTTATGTAGTATAAGTATGGAAGAAGGATGGGACATTTATGTGGTAGTGGTATGGAAGAAGGATGGGACGGTTATGTGGTAGAGGTATGGAAGAAGGATGGGATGATTATGTGGTAGAGGTATGGAAGAAGGATGGGATGATTATGTGGTAGAGGTATGGAAGAAGGATGGGACGGTTATGTGGTAGAGGTATGGAAGAAGGATGGGATGGTTATGTGGTAGAGGTATGGAAGAAGGATGGCAGGAGGTGAAGGGGATGACGCAGGAGTTGAGATGGAGACATTTGCTGAGCGTTATAACTTTTCTAATAAATGAGCTCTCTCCATCTTAAAATTGCTTTAAGCTGGACGGTAATACTAACTTATGTCCGGCAATAATTTTACATAAAGGACCTTGCATGGTGACAAACCGCATGAATTGTGATTGAGCTAGTAATCGTTACTTTTTTACGACTCGTATATTACAATGCTTCGTTAATCTTTTCTTAAAATAAAACCTTTTAATGACATCTTAGTAATAATGAGTTTACATACCAACAAAAATATTTGTTGTAATTTCATATTTTAGAAATAAAAATCAGCGCACAATGTCACACATTGTAATTAAAATATAAGCCTTGTCATGAATACATTTTTTTGATTACATAGTCATCTTAGAACATTGAAATATGTTGTTTTTTGTCTGTGGCTAAATTTACGAGCTTTTATACACAGTGCATTTCTTGTGTCATTCCTCAAACCTACAAATAGGAGTTTTCTTCCTTAACAAAGTTTTATTCAAACAATATTTGTATGATAGCCTCACGAATATGTTAACCTTACACACAAGCTGTTGATAATATTGTAATGGTCAAATTTTTTTCAAGAATGGGCGGACGGCGGATTTGAGCGTACTCGTCCGTTAACGGCGGGAATGGACGTATTAACGCACTCGCTGCTGTTATTTCCTGTGTTGGTAAGTGGTGAAGATGGTAAGGGGCTCTGGGCCATAGTGGTCTGCAGGCCTGGTTCGGCGACGATCGGCGCATATGACCCGTCACTAGTCAGTCGACGTCGAGAGATGGGAATCGTTTTCTCTTTCCTAGCGAAGGTAGCTGAAGAACAGGGCGACTGTTTAGAGGAGAGAAGCTGGAGATTTCTGGATACGCCGAGTGATTATCCTCGACCTGAGAAGTCGGAGTCAACGGGTATATTTTTGTGCGCCTGTGTTTCTTGTATCTCGCTTTCGACGCCATTCGGGAAACTCCAAGTCGATGAAAAGCGGTGGCGTCGTGACGTTGCGACAGCCTTACGACGGGGACGATTGGAGGACGAAGTGTTCGACCTGTTGGAAGTAAACGTCCCTAGGGAACAAGATCTTCGGTACGGAGGGCGTGTCCAACCATCTCACTTATCCCAGTTGACAGTGACTGCGCCCGACTCGTCATCGGAGGTGGTGGACGTAGCGGTAGACCCGGTCAGCTTCAGATCGTATGGATCACCGCGATATGCCCCGATCTCCAGTCGAGAGGAGGCAGCTCCCGGCGGAGGGCTAGTAGTGACGCAAGAGACGGAAGAAGCGAAGTCACCGGAAGCGGTGGGCGGTGAGTCGCCCGCTCTGTCACTTACAGCCGATGATCTTATGGACGAGATAGAGGAAATGTGCAAACCAGTCGAGGGCGCTAGGTCTTCTAGTGAAGTGGTGGCTTCTCCGCCCCGTGGTAAAATCGTGAATCGTGAGGGAGGATTTAAAGTCACAATCCCGGTAGACGCGATTCCAGCTAGTTCACCGATACTGTCGGATATTTCTAGTCCCGACCAATTCGAGGACTTTGACCCGGTTGCACGGGGCCAACCCCAACCTTATAGTGAGGAACGCGTATCGGCGGTAAAAAGACCAGCGACGGCTGCCCAAGGGCCCATGAAAATTACTGATTCACAAGAATCTCATCAGAGGTTCCGGAACCCACGGAGGAACCGAGGTCGGAAACGAGTCCGCAAGACATACCGGGTGCGCTTCCAGCGAGAAGATGGGACCACCTACCGGCAAAAGTTCTTGAAGGACGAATATCGCCGGAATTAAAGATATGTATCCTACTAAGCGAGAAGCTATTTTTTTGTTAGAGTTTTGTTTTTATTTTACGAGAGTGTTTGGTTTCGTTAAGGAGGCAGGAGGAGAGTGTTCTCCCCGCCCACGAGTCGGATGAGTTAGGTTACTCGACCAAGCGAAGGTCGAGCGCCGTGCGGGGTGCGAAGGTTGTCACCTCGCACGCGATAAGACGGTTTATGTTTGAGTTGACACCTGCAGGCAGGTAGTTTTTTTTTGTTCGTTTTTTTTCACCAAAGTAAAAAGGGGGTGTAATGGTCAAATTTTGTAAGGGGTAATTTTTTTTAATTATATACACGAACGATTAATCGCGGCGGTTCGTCACGACGGCAACAATGTCAAACATGTCCACTGCAGCTAGTCATGTCTCCTAGTTCGAGACTCGGCCGCTGTCACCTTGAAGCGCTGCCGTAGACGTGGTGGGGAGAAGCCGAGACCAGCGGACAGTGGACAGTTCTTGAGACTGAGACAGTCGGCAGTCGGCGTCGAGCGTTAGGTTTCGCGCACGCCAACCAACCCTCCTTAGGCCGTGCGAGCGAACCAAATAATAAGGTATCCGGACGAAGGCGAGAGTAACCTGGATGCAAATCTGGAAGTGTCGTGTTACGTAAGTACACTGTATATAGCTAGCGTATACGTTGTATTCATCCCCGTATCCACTTTGGCGAGGGAAATTGCGTTATTTATTAGGCTATTCTAGGACGTTTATCGTAGTTTATTATAGAATAACGTAGTTTATCGACCGACGCTGCGAATATATCAATATGTTGATAATATTTATACCAAACTATATCGTTTTTTTGCGTAATTTTCAATGACAACGGTCAAAATACCACTAAAAGTTCTCTTATTTTTATCAACTAAACAATAATTAAATATTTCTAATAAGTATAAGAGAAAATTGTCAACAGAATCCCTACCCACTAGAGCCGTGGCCCTGCCAGGACTCAGGAAGATATTTTCCTCTATTCACGACTGGTCCATTACCTTGAACAAACACTTGAGTCGAGCGTTCTAAATATTTAACCTTTCCATCTGGTTAGTTACGGCTTTGAAAACATGTTTTAGGGTCGTCCTTTAATTGGGAGTCGAGTTGGTAATTTTAACCTCAGGTTCATTAGACAGTAAAATATATCCAATTTGTGTTTCAGGCGTTGTAATTTTTTTGGCGAGAGTAAGTGATATATTGAACCTTCCACTGATTTACATTTTAGCGATTTACCTATAGATAATTACCTATAGATAAGTAGCTTTTACCGTAGGCTGCACGGCAAGACCTATACCCGGGAGCGATATGCTTTTTTAATTTTGATGTCCCAAAAGGCCAAAAAGACTAAACCGTTCAAATTGTTGTATATATCCGTAAACACGATAGGCTAACTTGAGTTATTGTTGTCCGAATATGATGAAATATGGCTCGAAAGTTGTAGGATTATTGTTATCAGCTGAGTTATACAGTTATGAATCATCTGCCATTTAGTTTGTTTACATGATTATTGTTTTTGTAAATAAATAGTTTTGATTGAGTTTACTTAAATGAGTTTTATAAATTAATTATTCTATATTGGCGACGAGAAAATGCCGAGGAAAACAGACCAGTCTCAGTATAAGAGTGTAATTGACTGTAGTAACATGTCTTGCATACAAGATAGAATGAGCAGATTTTCATTTAAAGAGTATAATAGTGAACAATTGTGGGAAGACTACATAGCTCGTTTTGAGTTGACCTGCAGAGTTAAGGGACTGGGTGGTGCTGACTCAGAAGAACAAGCGGCTCGGCGAGATCTTCTATTGGCAAATATCGGAGAGGAGCACCTCAGGGCACTGTCGGACCAGATGTATCCAAGGGCCTGGGAGGAGTGCACCTACTACGAAGTCAAAGAGGAAGCCAACCGGTTGTTCAAGCCTACAAGGACCCTTTTTGCAACAAGGTTTGAGTTTGAAAGAGCTATAAGAAAAGATGGTGAGACATTTATTTTGTTTTATAACAGATTGAAGTCTTTAGCTAGAAGTTGTAAATATGGAGATAGCTTAGATGAACGAGTACGAGATAGGTTTGCAGTAGGAAGCAACTGTCCAGAATTTGAAGTTGAAGTCAGACAAAGATGGCCCGAGGGAGTTGATAACCGAGGTGAGCTTGTTAAGTCAACAGTAGTACTAGAGTTAGCTCAATCCATGGAACGTGCGAGAGAAGAAGTTTCCAAACATGCGTGTAAAAATGAGATTTTCAAAGTAAGTGACAGTAAGGAAAAGAGGAAACCAGAGGTACAGAAATCTAATGGCTTCAATAGGTGTTATAGATGTGGGTTTACACATGACCCTAGTGAAGATAGATGTCCTGCTATTTCTGCTGTGTGCAAGAAATGTTCAAAGAGAGGCCACTTCGCAAGAATGTGCAAAAGTAAAAATAATTTTGTCAAGAGAACAGATGGTAATTTGAGAAAAGTAGATGATTCTTGTAATCAAACTTATGATGATGAGTGTAGTTCTGATATTGATGTTAGTGGTACACAAATTAGGTCAGTCAAGAGTAAGGTTCCCAGAGCTACAATAGATGTAGAATTGAACGGGTATAATGTTAGAATGGAGTTTGATTCCGGGGCTCGGGTGAGTGCTATAAGTTTGTCTCTTTGGGATAGGATAAATTCAAGTGGCGAATCTCTCAAAAAGACGTCTGATGTCATCACTGGCTATGGGAAAAATAAGCTAGAACTCATGGGTAAGGCTTTTGTGGACGTTACTTTACGTAGCGATTGCCGGTCATTGTATTACTAGAAGATGATGTTCCATTATTTGGGTTGCCGTGGAGTGTAGCTTTCAATCTTAATTTACCTAGAGAAGTAATGGTTAGGCGTATTGACAATGGAAAGACAAGTAGTAAAGAGGCAGGTAAGAACGAAGAAAGTTATAGAAAAGAGTTACAAAAAGAAGTAGAGGCATTAACTCAGGAGTTTTCCGAACTCTTTCGTGATGAGCTAGGAACGATATCTGACTCTAATGAAGTCATCCATCTAAAAAGTGGAACAAAACCTGTATCTTACGGGGCACGACGAGTTCCATTCCCCTTAAGGGAGGCAGTGGAGCGAGAATTACAGAGATTAGTACAGGAAGGAGTTTTGGAACCAGTGGACCCTTCCGAAACACCGATAGAATGGAGTACCCCAACTGTCAACGTAGACAAGGGTGGAGGTAGAGTAAGAATCTGTGGCGATTTTCGTACAACCTTGAATCCAAACATCGTGCCGGAAAGACACCTCTTGCCAACCTTTGATGACTTGACTTCCAAATTAACTGATGGAAAGATATTTTCAGTCATAGATCTTCGAGACGCGTACTTGCAAATGAAAGTACACCCCGAGTCACAAAAGTATCTGACAATAGCAACTCATGTAGGTTACTTTCGCTACAAAAGGTTGCCCTTTGGACTTTCCTCGAGTCCGGCAAAATTTCAAAGGTATATGGAAAGTTTACTAAAAGGACTTAATGTCGGAGTTCTACTTGATGACATAATCATTTCTAGTAAGGATAAGACTACCCATATAACCACTCTTAGAGAAGTTTTGAGGCGGCTAGAATCAAGTGGAATAAGAGCAAAACTATCAAAATGTAAGTTCTTTCAGAAATCTGTAAAGTATTTAGGTCATACAATAGATGGGAATGGTATTCATCCCTCCGAAGACAAAGTTGAAACCATAAGACACGCACCAAGGCCAAGAAACGTGAAAGAATTACGAGCTTTTCTAGGAGCACTAAATTTTTACGAAAGGTACATACCTAATCTTCATGCGATCGCTTTGAACTTGCATAAGCTGACTGGTACGAAGACTAAGTGGAAATGGACTGACACCGAACAGACGACGTTCGACAAGTTGAAGAATATCCTGTCATTAGAGAAGACATTAGTTCCATACGACATATCAAAGCCGATCATTATTGAATGTGATGCTTGTGAGCAAGGGGTTGGTGCAGTGCTGTTACATTTGATGCCGGATGGAACGGAAAGGCCAGTCATGTACGCCTCGAGGACACTAACGGAAGCCGAAAAAAGGTATGCTACAGTTGACAAGGAAGCGATGGCGTTAGTTTTTGCAGTGAAGAAGTTTAGACAATACCTCAGTGGGAGACATTTCAAGGTGAGGACGGACCACAAGCCACTTGAAAGAATATTCGGAATGCATCGAGATCTTACCAAAGTAGTAAACAACCGCTTGGTTCGTTGGGCTTTGTATTTAATGGAGTATGATTTTGAGATCCAGTACATCAAAGGACAGGATAATTGTTTGGCTGATTTTTTGTCTAGATTTTCACTCAAGACACAAGAAGTATTGGATCCAGATGAGAGAGAGATTCGAGCATTGGTTCAGGAGAAAATCGACGTCGTTTATCCAAATCATGAACTTGTACTGGAGTATAAGAAAGACCCAAATATGAAGAAACTTATAGACTACCTGGAACATGGTTGGCCAAAAGATACAGGAAACTTACCACCATCCATGAAACCATATTGGAATAAGAGAGAAGAGCTGACATTAGAAAACGGTATAATCATGCGATTAGGAAGAATAGTGGTGCCACAGATATTGAGAGAAAATGTATTAAAAGAACTCCACAAAGGACATCCTGGAATAGAGGCCATGAGATCCCTATCAAGGTATTATGTATGGTGGCCTAATCTGAATAAGGATGTCGAGGTTTATGTCCGTAGATGCCACCCTTGCCAGAGTAACCGATCATTTGACACAGAAGTACCTCTATATCCTTGGAATGTGCCAAGCGATCCTTGGGAGCGAATTCATCTCGACTTCGCAGGACCATTCGACAACCGATTCTGGTTAGTAGGAATCGATGCTTACTCAAAATGGGTTGAGATCGAAGTTATGGACCGTACGACAACTGCTGCTCTTGTAAATAGATTAAGGACTTGGTTTTCGAGGTACGGCGTTCCTAAAAAAATTGTATCCGATAATGGCACCCCCTTCACGTCCCATGAGTTTAAGACTTTTTGTAAGAACAATAACATATGTCATGTCACATCGGCACCGTATCATCCAAAAACCAATGGTTTAGTAGAGAGGATTATCAGAACCTTCAAGAGTAGATACAGTGCTTGCAAACAAGAAGGTCTCAGTTCATCACTTGCACTTTTACAAGTGTTGCTTGCTTATCGAAACACCCCACAAAAGACCACAGGCCAACCACCATCAGTCCTTTTCTATGGCAGAAGAATACCAACAGCTTTGGATAGGTGGAGGTGTAATAGCAGAGAGAGAATAGAGAATCAAGTGTGGCGACAGAAGTACTACCACGACTTAAAATCTAAACAAAAGGAGTTTTCTGCCAAACAAGAAGTGTGGGTTCAAAATGAAACGAAGAAGGGCTGGAGACCAGGAACTGTACAAGAAAGGACGGGAGAGCTATCATACAACGTTTTAGTTGGGGGAGAAATAAAGAGAAAACACGCTGACCAGCTGAGAGCAAGAGAAGGTGCAACTGATCCACCTCAATGGAAAATGCAAACGGAACCTGAAGATGAACACAGTTTCGGAAACTCAGCCTAAATTGGGTGGGGAGAAATGTAGGATTATTGTTATCAGCTGAGTTATACAGTTATGAATCATCTGCCATTTAGTTTGTTTACATGATTATTGTTTTTGTAAATAAATAGTTTTGATTGAGTTTACTTAAATGAGTTTTATAAATTAATTATTCTATAAAAGTGTAGGGCGAGATAAGCTTGAATAGGTTCGAAAAAAAGCGTGATCGGACTACGGGAACGGGATGTTATGGGTGGTTTTATTGGGTAAAAATTGGGTTTATCATTTTGATCCTCAACACATAAAATTTCTCAATTTATCTTTGAACCTTTTTAAAGAGCTTAAAACAAATAATTTAGTATACTGAAGTGTTTTAACGTTAATTGGTTAAGAATAAAATTCATTAAATCGTAAATTTAAAATTCCTATGTTATTCTTATGTAGTACACTGTTTTTAGTTTGCTTGTTTATGGATATATTTTATCCGACTTGACAAATTTATTTATTTTATAATAAGCCTTTCGTATTTTTCTAAAACCCACACTTTATTACCCTCCCTGTAGCAGTAAACCTAGGTACTTGTTAAACCTAATACATACATGTAATTACATATATGTAATTGAAAATTCAATCAGATAAATGGAAATTTGCTTGGTTTGCAGGTTTGCTGCGGCGGGGTATTTTTATATACCAGTTTATACCTTCCTTATTGTGCATCAGTCAATATAAAAAATATGACAAAGGGTTTTTATGTTTGGTGATTTTATTTGCATAACATTTATTTTCCTTTAAACAAACAGGTTTTCACGAAAATATCGGTTAAAATTATTTTGTTCGTCAATTCAGCCCCAGGATACGAATGTATGTGATGGTTGTATTACAACATTTCTCCCCCAACAACCCTCGTATTCACCGCGATACAAGACACTAACATCGCTTGATTGCCCGGGACTCAGCTGCGGCAGGTTTATTTATTATTTCTTGCGCCTCATCACTTTCCTACAGCGTGGGTTTTATTGTTTTATACGGTTTGTATGAATAAAGGTAAACTACGTTGTAAATAGATATAATTCAGAGAACATTTCAGACAGTTTTATCAGTGAATTTGTACTAAGCAATCGTTTGGCACATTGTTGTTCAAAACATTTGTTATTCTCATTAGTATCGTATAATAGTTCGTATGAAGTAGTATGATTTCAAGAGCATGAATCATTTAAATATACCTTACTACTGGAAGATAAATCTCATGCAGAAAAATTCCAAAAACCTTCATACCTTAAGCCACTAATTTATTTAATGAATGAGCCACTGGGTTTTAAATTTAGATCATATGATGAATTGTAAATTCAACATCAGTTTATGATAATTTATTTTCTAAAACTATTTCTAATTTTTAATGTTGTTTTTACATTTAAGTTATAGCAGCCATATACTTTTTTGTCACATTGATGTCCCAGGATTTGGAGAATTATTTAATGATACCATACGCGCTGTGTCTCTCAATGTACAGACATTACAAATACATCATCAGATTGATCACCTATCTAAAGCACCTACACCTGTTTGAAGCTTGTATACAAACCTTGAGATGATCGCAGTGAGCTCAGGCTGTCAAGTGACAGACAGTTCCGCGGAGTTTCTATCTCACTGTGTGATTTGGGTTTTATTTAGAATCGTCTCGATGCATTCCCCAGTGATGCAAACAGTATCCCTGAGATTTTGTTTAAGATAGTATCGATTTTATACAAATAGCATTTGTAAATTGACAAAACCCTTCTACCCAAAAATAATAATATCAGATATAAAGTATTAGGCCTGTTAACTAAGAGATTCGTATTATAATCCAAATTTGCTTGGCATTTCAGATCGTTAGAAGCAAGGAAAATGTGTTCAACATCACTCATACATAAGGATGTAAACGACGTGAACTAAACAATAAAATATTGTTTGTATACTTTGTCTAGCAACTATAAAATAGTATAGTTTGTAATAACAAACCCAATCAGTGCCGCATGCTGCGTTGCCAGGCAGAGACAAACTTGTAATATGGAACTTTCAATTACGAGACGAACAACACAAACTGTTTACTGCATTGCTCGGGGGCAACTGATCAAATTACTGTATATTGATGAATAATCGATCACACCAGAGTTGCCATATTGTTAATTATATTTGTAGAAATCACTGAATATAAAAATGTCGGGGTTTATTTGTAAGTTTGATCGCTGAAACTAGTTCTCTAAAATTAAAAGATACTTATGCTAATTTGTCTAAGTTTAATCAAGAAAGTGTGGACTTTTTCAAAACATACACAGTAAAACAACTAATTTACTTACGTTTATGATGAAATCGTGATTGTAAATTATAGTTTTTAATAAACATAATAATTATGCAGTAAATATAAGAAGTAAATATGATAAATGGGCCAAGTATTTGTTTGATCGTGTTCCGCTTACATAGTATAACTTGTATCGTGTCGTGGTGTTTCAATCAGAGACACAAAGGGGTGTTTTCCTTCCACTGGTCCATAAGAATAGATCCTGTTTAAAGTCCGATAGATGTTTAAATTTTGTTTTAACGTAAGTATTTAACCATTTAGAACATCATTGGTTGATGTGTTTGTTTAGTAAGTTAGCCTAACGTATTTTAAATTTAAGTCTAACGTCCCTTTAGAATGTTAACACCGTCATTCCCTTTGAACGGTTGTTGTAATACTTAGATAAACGTAATATGAAAGTTGGCAATAAGTAAACACTTTACTAAAATAGTCTTGGTGATAAAACATATCATCTTACAATTGACGTACAAAATAATAACGTCTATAAACGCTGGAGGGCAATCGAATAATTTATCACTAACCTTGGTCCGTTTACAAATTTGAGCCATATTATGTAATTCCTTATTTTACGGTAATTTTAATTCCTAATGGTTAAGGTTGGATAGTTTATGAACATATTCACACGCTACCGCTACTTTTCACTCGCTATCGTTTTACTTAAATCATCGCAATACTCAATATCCAATCGTATCCAATATCGCAATATCCAAATAAGCCATTGCTTAAATTAAAGTACACAAAAAAGACTTATTAATATCAACCTACCTTCAGTTGCCTACAGTACACCTTTCCAAATGGGCCATTAAATACTCCTGCTAAAATGATGGTAGTTCAGAACGCTATTGAAACTTTATAATTAGTACATCTATAGTCAACGAGCCGAGGCGAGGGTACATGGATACTTTATGAAGCCTTTTCATTGCTAACCTGTATTACGTTATTAAACCTGGGCGTGGTTCTATAATTTCTAGTAGTACATAATGTAATGAACCAATGGATTAGTTTAATATACATTATAAACCTAAATTTAAATTAAGATCATTAGTATCACGATCAAATAAATATTCAAAATGTACATTCTTGAAATTACTTGAAATCTGAACGGATATTTATTCCTCAGTTAAATAAATCTAATTTCATAATAGCGGTTGAGAATGGATTTAATAATTTTGATCTTTCTCTTACAAACAAATCTCAATTTATATTGAATTTATAAACATACCAACCCTCTTTGTTTATTATATACTTCTTCAGTTTATTATTGATTCAGTTGTTTATTGATTCTTTCAGGTCAGTAAGCACGCCTCTGGCTAAATAATTAAAATGACATTGTTTTCGTTTAAAAGAACTTAACATATCGATGCTAATTTCCAGAGGTATTAATTTAGGTTAATTTAGTTTCTCCCATGGATAAACTTAGAACCAATTCATGTGTAAACTTAAACTTATAATAAATTTGTTTTACTAAATATTTTAAGTTTAAAATATGCCAATAAAAAACTTCTAGCTGTAAAATTATTAAATGTATTATAGTAATGAACGGTAAATCCTGTTTTTCAAATTTTTGTTAGGACTACGTGGTTTCAGGTATACATTGTGAGAGATGAGATACATTCACTCTGTGACGTTAGCCTGAGGTACTGGTGTAATTACAGTCACCAGAAATAAGCTCCAATAGTTACATCACTCTACCGTCTAATGCATTGTTAAGTGACGTGTTATGCATTGTGAGAAAATCTATGACGTTAGCACGAGATACTATGGTGTAGTTACACCCCTCCCGTAAAAAAACCATTCGATAGTTACTCCTCCTTTGACCGTTAATAATCCATGATATGTTTTCATACTTTTCGGGTATGTCCTAGTTTCCCTAATATTTTTCACGACTAATGGTAGTACATTTCTAAAACACTGAGAATTCACATTCCTTCATTTTTCAATATTTTTGTATGCAGTAATAATTTTGTTAAGTTAAAATAGTAAATCGAGCGGAAATGCTTTATTAAGTTTCTTAATATTACTGATTAAAAACAATTTAGGTAGTTGCTAGGATGTGTTTGGCTATGATATTACGCTATTACTGTACGATATTATGTAGCATTCGTTGTTATAATAAGTTTAAGAGATATTTTAAATTAATAGATATCCTCTAGAGTTCGCCTTTAAAAATGTCGGGAGGGGGATATCCCGTTACACGCAATTATTGACGAAAAGGGGGTTTTCAACCTACAAGGGACAATCCCTAAAAAGTGTTAAGAGCAGAAGTTTGTTAAATGATATTTAATTTAAATATAATATCAGGGATATTTAACTGCTCCTAGACCTTTTGCCTTTTTAAGTACCGGTATTCATCTAATACTTTGTAATAAAACAGACTCTATGTATGTTTACTTGTTAAAAAACGTAATTTGTTAGCATATTATCTAAAATATTAATTTTTTTAACTTCATAAATTATCTTTTACTTTTCATATTTAACAGCATAGCGTGATTTAATCCCGTACATATGCACTATAAAGCCCGGCTGTTTATGAGCATTTCACTCACTCTAGTGTATTATGACCATTATATTATATAGTATATAATTTTCTTCTTCACTTCGTTCAACTTGAGAGAAATATTCAACTTTACAATTGGGCTTGAGCTAGTAATATATTAATAATATATTCTGTTATCATATTTATGTA